TAATGCTCTGTGACTAGATTAGGCCTATCTTTTATGCATGAGTTTGACAATATTGATTCAAGATTCGAGAGATGAGAATTAATGTTTAGGTCTAGTTTCAATAGGCAGATTAATTTATAAATGGTTAAGTCGAGATTTGAGAGATGAGATTTAATACCGGTAAATTAATTGTGTGATTGTAATACGTAGCGAAATCCCTTTACAATTTGGTTAATTGATGCATTGATGATTGACTATTTTTGATTATTGGTATTGCATGATAATTTCTTATTGAATTGTTTTAACGTTTTACAATTGCGGCTTGTAAAATTATGGCAATATTGAATTGATGAATCGAGTAGATGTTAATTTGATATTAAAGGCTATTTTCAATAAGAACTTAGATCTAGTAAATTGCGAGAGCCTGTTAGATCTATGTTGATTAATAAATTGCGAGAGCCTGTTAATTATGTTATTTATGTAATGTCAATGATTGATTACTATGTTTTACCCTGGAGTATTATTTATTGGTAAACCTATGCCCTAGATCCTTATATATATCGTTTTCTCCCTATTCATATTCTTTGTAGTTTAGTTTTATACTCAAATATAAATATTGGTTACTTAGATAATTTAGACTATAATAATTAATTAGGAGTAAAAAGACTTGTTTCCCTGTGGAGATCGACCCTATTTCCCTATCTACATTAGTTATAGGATTTAGGTATTACTTTTGATTAGGGGATACGACTTTACCCTATCAGGCATTCGAGACGAGAGTGGAAATGACAAAATTCCCAGTGATGAAGCCCGGAATGTCAATGCTACTTTGGAACGCAAGGGGTATAGCCCGGAGGGGGTTTAAGAAGAACCTCCGCCAACTGCTGAAGGATCATGATCCGGAAATCGTGATCCTTAATGAAACTTAAGTTAAAAAATCGGAGGTGGAGGAAATCATCCGCAATCTCCCCTTCAACTCCTTCGAGGTGGTCGATCCGGTGGGTCTCTCTGGGGGTATTCTGCTCTTATGGAACATCGGTATCAAAAACATCACCACCGTCGCGAAAGATCAGCGTTTCATTCATGCTATAGTGCAGGTAAAAAATAAAACCCCCTTTTTCATTTCAATCATCTATGCAAGCACTTGTTTTAAAGCTAGGCTAGAATTATGGGAGGATCTTTTAAATTTAGCGCCAACTATCTCCCTCCCGTGGCTTGTTTGTGGTGATTTAAATGAAATTTGTTTTGACCACGAGAAATAGGGGGGTAATGCCCACCCCATAACTCAAATGAGAGCATACAAGGAAACGATGAACAAGTGTAATTTGTTGGATCTAGGTTACACTGGCCACAAGTTCACATGGTTCAATAAAAGGAGAAATTCTCCCATATTTGAAAGGCTTGACAGATTTTAGGCCAGCCCATCTTGGATTTAATTATTCCAAGACTCGGTAGTCCAAAATTTGCCATGAATGACTTCGGATCACAACCCGCTACTCTTATCCTTAGAGAAGCGGGTTCAAATGACGGGCCGAAAACCATTTCGCTTTGAGCCCATGTGGTTTTCTGACCCATCATTCCAACCCTTTGCCACCAATAAATGGGGAGCGATCCATACATCTCTTCCGGCCAAGCTCAATGACTTAGCCAAGTCCCTTTTGATTTGGGCCTCCAACAATGTTGGGTCGGTTCCAAAGAAAATAAAAATATTAAGAGCTAGAATTGAAGGGGGCCAGTTAGCTTTTGAAAACAATCCCCTCAATGGCTATCTCTTGGATTTAGAAAATTCTTTGGCTGAGGAATTGAATACCTTACTTGAGCAAGAGGAAATGTACTGGGCGACTAGACCTCGTACGGATTGGTTGATACACGGGGATAGAAATACTAAATTTTTCCATCTCTCTTCGACCATCCAAAAAAAAAAAGAAATAAAATTTCAGCCCTCAAAAATGAAGTGGGGGAGTGGGTTGTAGATCCCCAACAAATTCATGACCTCATTACCCACCACTTTTCATCCTTGTTCACCTCAGAAAACATCCATCTGCCCCCCCCCCCCTCCTATATTTGCTGAAACTTTCAAATGCTCTCAAAACCCCACCTTGGCTGAACTTAAGGAGGCCGACTTTTCCATTGGGCCGTTAAAAGCACCTGGAGAGGACGGCTTCCACGCGCTCTTTTTCCAGAAAATGTGGGATTCTATACACCTGGAATGCCTTCATCTTATCTCTTCTATCTTCACTACAAAACAAGTGCCCCAAAATCTCAATAAAACGGTCATTTGTCTAATCCCAAAAATCCAAAATCCCACAAGTATATCAAGCTTTCGACCGATCAGTTTAGTAAATTGCTGTTACAAATTCGTCTCAAAAATTTTGGTTAATCGAATTAGACCCCATCTAAACTCGATTATCTCCCCAAACCAAAATAGTTTTCTCCCGGGCCGAGGAACGGACATAAATTTCATCATTGCTTCCGAGATCGTTCACTCTATGGGAAAGAAAAAAAGAGGTAGAAAAGGCACCTTTGCTCTCAAAATCGATCTCAAAAAAGCATATGATAGATTGGAGTGGCCATTCATTAGACATTGCCTGATGTATTTCAACTTCTCCTTAGATACAGTTGAACTCATCATGAGTTGTGTATCTTCGGTTTCCTCATCGATCCTCATTAATGGCCACTTATCTCAATCCTTCACTCCTACGAGAGGATTACGTCAGGGGGACCCGCTATCACCCTATCTGTTTATTATATGTATGGAATACCTTTCTAGGTTGATCCATAAAGAGTGTGATTTAAAAAATTGGAGCCCTTTTCGTTTTCGGGGTGGAAAAACAAACATCTCGCACCTACTCTTCGCGGATGATGTTCTCTTTTTTGGCCAGACAAATAAAAAAACCCTCCACTCCATGTCAAACACACTTTCTCTCTTCTTTGGAATGTCAGGACAAAAAATAAACGACCACAAGAGCTCCATTTTCTTCTCCCCTAATACCCCTCATTCGATGATTGATGAGTTTGAACAAGAATTGAACATTACGGCCACCTCAGACCTTGGAAAATATCTCGGATTCCCCTTATCCATTAAAAGGCCTTCTAAAGGTAACTTGCAATTCTTGGTTGATAAGATTGGCTCTAAACTTGCATCATGGAAGAGCTCAACCTTAACTAAAGCGGGCAAGCAAATACTCATTCAATCTACTCTTCAATCAATCCCGAGATATTTCATGCAATCATTTTGGATCCCTAAATCCCTCACATCTCATCTTGACTCCATTTGCTCTAACTTCTTTTGGGGAAGTAATGGTGATAAAAGAAAAATCTCGTGGATTTCATGGGATAAGATATGCAGGCCTAAAGACCAGGGCGGGTTGGGCTTTGTAAAGCACGACGAGCTCAATCTTATTTCTCTTTCTAAGCTGTGTTGGTCCATCTACAACAATAAAGGGTGGGCAGCCCAATTATTGAGAGAAATCTACATTGACAACAAGGAAAACCCAACATCGTTCAACAAGGGATCTCACATTTGGAAGGGTGTGGGAAAGGCTTGGCCGACTTTCCAAAACAGTATAGTTTGGAATGTGGGTGATGGTTCTAACATTGACCTATGGGAAGATAGGTGGCTTCTTCACCTCCCATTGAGACAGTTCATAGTTGGACCAATAAACCTTCATGCACAGCATCTCTCCCTCTCTGCAATCTCCCTTGCCTCTAAACACCAAACTGAGCTGCTCCTCTCCTTCGAAATCTCTGAACACCTATTTCAACTTATTCAATCCGTTCCTTTTTCTTCTCAGAATGACACACATTTCTCAAAGGGTAAGTTCAATCCACAAAAAGCCAAAATGCTCATCCAAAATGGTAGCCTCTCATCCTCTCCTTCATTGATTGGAACCTAATCTGGAAAGCGAATACACATCCCAAGATAAGATCCTTCCTTTGGGTTTTAGCTTGGGACCGTATTGCACACAAAAAAAATCTCCATCAAAGACAGTCCTCTGCCTCTCCTAAATGTTCTTTTTGTCCTGAGCAAGATGAGACCTCCTCCCATATTTTCATTCATTGTGTCAGAGCTAAGGAATTCTGGGAGAACCTCCCACCCCCTACGACTGTGTCCACAACCTTGGAGTGGAAAACCTGGATCTCTTGCAACCTAAAATCTACTGACATCACCAGAGGGACCATCCCTTGGAATGTCATGTTCTGCTTCGCCATCTGGACCATTTGGTTAAGGCGTAATTCTTGGTCTATGTCTAATTCAAACATCCCCCTCCAAACTGCAATCAACCAGTGTGTTTGGGCTGCTTCGGAATTCTACTTCACTTCGAAGTATAATAACGAAAGTCAAGAGCCCATCTCCTCTCCTCACTGGTGTCCCCCTCCTCCAAACTCCTTACAAATTAACTGTGCCGCATCCTTCCTCCATTCCTCTAAGGAAGTAGGATGTGCAGTGGTATGTCGAGACAATTCAGGCAATTGGATTGAGGGTCAGATATGGAAAAGCTACCTACCCTCAAGCCATGATGCGGAATTGAAAGCCATTGAGTTAGCATTGAAATTAGTCAAGGATAGGGGATGGTCTAATGTGCAGATATGCTCAGATGCTAAGAGGGCTGTCCAAGAAATTAATGCTCTTGATTGTACAACTAATGCTCCTACACTTCTCACCAATTGCAGGGACCTAAGAATGGAGCTCCATCAGGATATGCTCTTTGAGGAAAGGAGTTGTAATGCCGTAGCTGACTTGCTAGCTAAGGATGCAAGAGCCAATCTGAAGCGCATGAATGAAACTTGTATTTTGTATCAGCCACCATCTATTTGTAATGCCTCTTTTGTAAAAGACTTTAACCTTTGTACTGCAAACTCTATGCTTTATTCGACTGGTGATGTCCCAGTAACTTTGGCTTGTAATACAATTAATGATTAAGTAATGCATCCTACTTTTAAAAAAAAAGCTCGAAAAAAATTTAGAGATATTACATGCGTGCACCTATATATAATCGTGGATCCTTAGGAAAATGTTATACTAATTATATTGGTAAAGCTTAGACTGCCAACAAGAATATTGTTCCCACCATTGACAAAGGCCATGAGCTAATGATAGACCTTTTTCCTTAACAATCATATTCTTCATATTCATAGTAACAAAACCTGAAGGAATTAGATGTAAAGCGTCACCATCTTTCCCTAATGCATTCTTCAACAAATTCACAACTGAATTTTTTGTTGCAATCTTTTCGATCCCACCTGCGCCCCATCGTTCCATCTTCTCTCGATGCTCAAAGTAGCCTATATATTCGCAACAAATCGTGTCGTGTGGGTTCACAAACAAGTACGGGATCCAAGACCGAAGTGTAGTACTAAACGGATCACATTCTTCATGTGTCGTATTAGTATTATTTTTTGTTCTCTTTAGTGCATACGAAAGACCGGCTGTTACAACACTATGTGTTATACGTGCACCATTCTTCAATTTTCGACTATGAAGCATCTCAATTGGAGCGGAGGCGTAAGGAGGATTAAATAGATAAGTTTCGACGTAACATCCTCTTTTAGCCATGTCTTTTTCTGCTTGTAATGTCATAGCCGCGCCTAAAGAATGCCCGGTTAACCAAACATCTTTAGGGTCCGTTACGCTTAGTAAGTCCTCTACTACGTGTAACGCAATTTCGTACCGGGAGCTACATTTTAACTCGTGTAGGATGATCTTTGCATCCAAATAACAATCTTGTAACCCGGTTTTTGGCTTGATGATTGTTCCTCGTAAAGCAATCACATATCTTGGGGGTATATCTTGGGTTGAGTTTAGGCGATTTGGGATTGCATGTTTGTACTCAAATATGGCCCCAAAAATGGAGGAATCAGTTTTATCTTCAAGGGCTTGGATGCATTTGAAATGAAAAAACTCCCACCATATTGGTGCTAAAACATCGTACCCTTCTCTCTTTTGTTGGCGATCAAATTCCGCAACATACACTCCTTGAACCAAACTAGCTGCAACCGATCTTCTATGTTCGGTATTCCCCTACAATAAGTGTTTATATTAGTTTGTATGAATTGGGGCTGATTTTTATATTTAATGGAGATATTGTATAGATTTAACAGCACATCTATCTATTAACTAATACCAAAGTAATAATCGTTGACATCATTCTATATTAAAATTAGACACATGTCATGTTGTTATTAAAAATTTTCCCTTCAAAACTATAAATGATGTAATCTTTGTGATTTTTATTTTAGTTAATTAAAATTCTAGTCAATTACATTATTATTAGGGCCTGTTTGATTCACCTTAATTTTACTGAACTGAAATTATTTTTACTGAACTGAACTTATTTTTACTGAACTGAACTTAATTTTACTGAACTGAAATTATTTTCACTGAACTTAAATTATTTTTACTGAACTGAAATTATTTTTACTGATTTTCTATTATAATTCTTCTTTAAGAAAACTAAATTTTACTGAACTGAATTTATTTTTACTGAACTAAAATTATTTTTACTGAACTGAAATTAATTTTACTGAACTGAACTTATTTTTACTGAACTGAAATTATTTTTACTTAATATTATTTTTTTAAGGTGAATCAAACAGGGCCTTAGTATCAAATTCTGAAAAAATGGTTTATTCTATTCAATAATAATACTAATTTAATTTTCTTACTTGAGTACACTTTTCAGTTTTCATCATTCAATTTTTCTAAGGGCTCTATTTAAAATAAATAAATAAATAAATAAATTCATGTTTTATTTATTTTGGGAATGTTTTTATTTTTAATTTTGTACAAAAAATAAATTTCGAAGATTTCATTTGATTAAATCGTGTGATCTAATCTAGTAATAACTATAATCATTCCCTCTCCATATATACTTTTATTGTTGATTTGAATCAATAAAATTTGTTACTCCTTACTAAGTATTTCATAATCCATTTGTCTCATGTTATTACTTATTCTAATTTTTTGTATGCCTCAATTATTTGGTCAAATTAAACCAGTAAAATGAGACTGACATCCAAAGGAGTATCATTTAAACAATACATAAAATGGAGTATTATACTTCCTCCGTTCTTTTTTTATTGCACCATGAGGGATTTCACGCTTGTCAATGCATTACTTTAGCTATTAATATCTTCAATTATACTTTTGTAAAAATTATAAAAATTTAATATTTGAAAGAATGATTTTGAGAAGAATCTAACTAGATCACACATGACTATATTTTTCCTAATGAATAAATCACAAATGTTAGTAAAAAACAAATAAGTGAATAGTGTAAAAGTCCTAATGGTGCAATAAAATAAAAACGGAGGAAGTATATAGATTGAAAGATTTATAACAGATGGTAGTTTTAAATTAGACTAAGATTGACTATTCTTCATGTTTGCAGATGAAAAAGTGTGATTTTCTTTTATATACCTATACTAATACTTTCTCCTTTTTTTTTATAATTGCAACACACATTTTATCACGGTAATTAAGAAAAGTGGACCTCACATGAAATAATACACATAAAATAGAGGGTTTAGAGGTTGTTAGGAGTATACTCAAGTGGGTCATGAGCTTTAAATAAAAGGTAATAATACAATTTTCACAATAAAAACCTTCATTTTATAGTGTGTTGCAAATATTATGACACTTCTATCTTAGAAAGTGTTGCAAGTATTAAAAAACGGAGGAAGTATATAAAATGAGAAGGGGTTTTGGGTGATAAATATTACTTTTCCAAAATATCCCTCTCATTTTATCCTTTTTAAGAAAAAAAACTACGTCTAAGGAAAATTTAGAAAATAACACCACAAATTTCTCGAAACTTAGATTATAACACCACAAAATCTCTAATTTTTATTATAACACCACATAAAAACACAAAACTTTGATTTAACCACCACTTAACGAATTCTTGGATGGAATCCGTTAGTGGGGCTCACTTTCGACACGTGGCAATGCTATATTGGTTAAAAAAATTAATTTTTTTTAAAAAATAATTAAAAAAAAAACTTATACCCTAACCCAGCCATATTCCTCCACCGTACCGCCGGCAGCCCTATCCTCCATCCGCGGCAACCGAACGTCCTCCACCACCGCCGAGACCCCATGCGTCACCGGTAGAACCACCCAACAACCCCTCCCTTTCTCCTAATCAAAAAACCGATCCTACCTCTTTTCCACTCCCCGAAAACCACCACATCAGCCACCTCCACCCCTAAATAATCAAAATCGACAAACCCTAAAACTATAATTGTTGATAATTGAAACCCATATTGCTTTCTTGAGTGCGCGAGGTTGCTAGGGAGGTGCGGTCCGGTGCGCGAGGTGGTTACATGGGTCGGTGCAGTGAGCGAGGTGGTAGTGTGGGTCGATACAGTGCGCGAGGTAGTTGCGGGGGATGCTTTGCTTTGGTAGGTTGATGCGGTGCGAGAGGTGGTTGTGGGAGTTGGGTTGGTTTTCGGGGAGAAGGAAGGGGTTGATTCACCGGTTTTTGTGGGGTCTGGGGGTGTCGGCGGCTGGGTTTGTGTTGTCGGCGGCTAGGATAGGTGGTGCCGCTGGTGGGGCTTGGTTAGGTTAGAGTTTAACGGTTTTTTTTTAATTATTTTTTTTTATTTTAAACCAAGAGAGTATTGACATGTGTCATTTGAGGGCCCTACTAACGGTTTCCATCTAAAAATCCGTTAGTCGGTGGTGAAATCCATTTTTTGTGTTTTTTTGTGGTGTTATAATCAAAGTTTTTTTTTTTTTTGGTGTTATAACCCATTTTTTGCAAAATATATGGTATTATTTTCTAAAAAAACCAAAAAAAAAATTTAAAAAAAAAAAGAAAGAAAAAAAAAAACCATCATTCTTTTTTAAATTTTTTATATTTTGAAAGAAGTCATATCTTATTATATTGGCTCCGTGTAGGGGTGTCAATCGGGTTTTCGGTTCAGTTTGGGTTCGGTTTATCAGTTTTGGGTTTGTAACGGGTCGGTTTTTAGCGGGTTGGAATTATTAACGGGTTAGTTCGGGTCAGTTTTAAATAATTTCGGTTCGGTTCGATTTATTTTTATTACAGTTTCTTTTCGGGTCGGATTCTAATCGGGTCGGGTTATAATTGGTTCGGGTCATAATCGGGTCGGGTGACAGGGTAAAGTCGTATCCCCAAATCAAAAGTAATACCTAAATCCTCTAACTAATGTAGATAGGGAAATAGGGTCGAATCCACAGAGAAACGGGTCTTTCTATTCCTAATTAATTAAAATAATCTAGATTATGAAGTAACCAATATTTATATTTAAATAAGAGACTAAACTACTAAGATTGAGAATAGGCAGAAAACAATATATAAAAGGATCTAGGGCATAGGTTCACCAATAAATAATATTCCAAGGTAAAACATAGTAATCAATTATCAATGCATACATTAATCAGATCATAAAGGGCTTTCGCTACGTATTACAATCACACAATTAATTTACCGGTATTAAATCTCATCTCTCGAATCTCAACTTAAACATTTATAAATTAACCTGCCTATTGAAACTAGACCTAAACATCAATTCTTATCTGTCAAATCTCGAATCAATATTGTCAAACTCATGCATAAAAGATCAGGCCTAATCTAGTCACAGAGCATTAATCCAATCAATAGGAAATTAATCTAGCATTGATAATTAACAATAACAAATTACCCCTTCATATTATTTATGGATCCCCATAAACCCTAGAAATAAAACTACTCACACATAGTAGAAATTAAACTAATCAAAGCAATAAAGCAAGACATGATAAAAAGAATAAAGTAAATAACTAAGATTAAGAGAAGAGAAATCGTTACCAAACTAATCTGTATTAATAGAAAATAATCAAGAACAAGAGTTGAGAGAAGAGTTAAGAGAGAGAAAAGATCCTAAGTAGAGAGAGAAAGTCTAAGAAAAAAAATCCACAAAAATCCGTACAAAATCGTCTATAAACGTTTCCTAAAACAAAAATTAAAACTAATTAATCAGGTCTCTTAAAAACGCGCGCCTGATCGGGCGAAGGGCCGCCCGATCGGGCGTGCCTTTTTCTTCGAGTTCCTTGCCAGCAGTATCGCCCGATCGTGCTAGATGCTCGCACGATCGGGCGCGCTTATGCACGCACAGCACCTGGCCTTGCCGCGCCCGATCGGGCCCTTGCTCCACTTTGAGGCTCAAACTTCAATTGGGCTTGATTTCTCGGCCCAATCCGGATTTCCTCCTCGGGTCTTGAATACTTGGTCCGTATACCTCGGGATCCCAATTACCGAGCCCTTAATCACCGGCTCTCACCGATCCTGGGCTCCAAAAGTGGTCGTGTCCTTCTAGCTTCCGTAGTTGATCCATAAAGCCCGGGAAAATGCTCCAAGGGTGCAATTTCCTGTAAAATACAACTAAAACTACGAAAACACTAGAAAACACAAATTAGTAATAAAAGTGGCTTTAAAGAGCCAAAAACACTACTAATAACGACCAAGGGACGGGAGTAAAACACTATATAAAATGGACATATCATCACGGGTCATAATCGGTTAAATTACGAACCGATTATGACCCGAACCAATTATAACCCAACCCGATTAGAATTCGACCCGAAAAGAAAATGTAATAAAAATAAACTAAACCGAACCGACCCAAAATTATTTAAAACCGACTTGAACTAACCCGTTAATAATTCCTACCCGTTAAAAATCGACCTGTTACAAACCAAAAATCGATAAACCGAACCCAGTTACTGGTTGTAAACGATTTGGGTTTATCGGGTTTAAACGGTTTCGGTTTACAATGGGTCGGGTTGCTATCGGGTTCAAAAGTACTCGGTTCGGGTTGTTCTCGGTTTCGGGTTGTATTAGTTCGGCTTGATATCGGGTACAATTCATTAACGGTTCTCAAACATTCGGATCGGTTTAGTTTCAGGTTTTAAAAAACGGGTCGGGTAGGTTTACAATTTTAAAATAACAGATTCTTAGCGGTTCAGTTCCTTTTCGGAACATTTCAAAACGGTTCGCATTCACCAGTTCAGGTCGGTTTTTGACAGCTCTAGCTCCGTGATTTTATCAGTATTTTTTTTTAATAACACAAATTTGTTTAATAACAATTTTTTTTTTGTTTTTTTATCAATAATTTTTAAACTCGGTGATTTTTTAAGAGGATAACATTCCAAAAAAAAAGAGAATAATTAGCATGATGGAATATTTATATTGCACACGCATGCGTTGTATGTGTCTCTTAGCTTACAGGGTTACTAGGGTATAAATGAAAAGAGACAAGAACTACAATAATATTTTTTTTGGTAATATAATCAATGTTCACATCTTCTTCTCCCTTAATTTTAAAACTCTCTTTTTTGTTAAATAAGAATAAAATAACAAACAAAAAAACCACATTATTTTACTATTATGTTTACACGGACCAAAGAACAGTTAAACACGTAGTATATGAAATAATTACCAATTTACGTTGTTGAGGTAGAGAGGGCCACAGAACTCAAAAACATCATTTTGGGAGGGCTTTGACATCCTTTCGATCTTTAGCTTTAATTTTCACTCTTCATCCACACCACCAATTCCTGCCCAACGAGGTTAAGGAATAATTTAGTTAATATTCTACCCAAATAAGGGAACAAACAACAAGAAGAATACAGCCAGAGTAAATATATAATAAAGAAATGTTTTCTCTATATAATTTATAGCAAGCAACAATAATACGGATCAAAGTAATACTTTTTTATTTATAAAAAAATATATATTTTCATGAAAATAAGATTGTAGACTGATAAAAAATATATATATTCATAAAAATAAGATTGTAGACTGATAAAAATTTAAAATGTACTTCGTACCAAGGAAGAGAAGAATTAGATAAATGTACTTCGTACAATCGTCGTACCAAGGAAGAGAAGAATTAGATCAAAGATTATGAGCAAATTACTATGGATTTTCAAAGCTTATATATACATAAAGGAGTATTAATCTTGCTCGTCAAATTGCCATTGAAAAGATATAAGTTATTAGTTGACCTTATTTCTTAATTATAGTCAATGATCATTGCCACTTGTCCAACCATCTTGATTCTTAAACTAACATGAGAAATATGGTCTAACAACTTATATATTATGAGATTCATTGCTAATTTATTTTATTAATTATTAATGACTACTTGTATATGCTTCAGAGTACAATTAAATTATCTCCACTAATTAATTATTTTGTGAATGCTAAACCAGGGAAACATTCTCTGAAGTCCAACCATGCAACTATACAAGTATATGTATATATGATTTTTTTTTTTTTAATCATACAATTTGAATTTAGATTTATACTATTAATTAAATATACTTCCATAGGGAGTATATATATGTATATATGATTTTTTTTTTAAAAAAAATCATACAATTTTAATCCTACAAGTAGAGATTCTTTTTTTTTTTTTTTTTTTGTAGCAAGTTAAAAATTCTCTATAATGTAAGGGTCCTTCATCTTACCTTAAATAAAAATAAAATAAAATAAAATAAAAAATTAAAAAAAAAATGTTTATATTTTATAATGAGTTGACGCTGGTTGATGTAAATCATGTAAAATTTTTGAAGATATTATTGTATAAGTCCAGCTCACTCCTATGACTAATTCTGCAACAACCAATAGTACCAATGAGAGTAGCCGAGTAGGGAACCATTATACTTAATTACTTACAGGAGTATTAAATACATACATACTAGCCTTGTAAATATATACAAGTATGGAATATGACTAAGATGGAGATAGATAATTAATTAATTATTAGAAACCTTTTTTTTTTAAAAAAAAAAAAAACACCATATAAAAATTTTCTTATGAAAACACACAATAAACCCTTTTTTTCTTTTCTTTGCAAAGTAACATCACCTACCCTGGTTTGTGGTGCTTAATTTGGTTTTCAGGCATTGACCAACACGTGAGACGCACATGTCCCGGTGAATCTTCCCTTTCTTAATTTTTTCCCCTCTTTTTTTCCTCTAATTGAACCCCATCTCTCAAATTACTCTCCATAGAAGCAGGGAACTCCATTTTTAAGCTTGAATTGCTGAAATTAACCTAATTTCGAGATAGATAAGTTGTTGTAATAACTAAAATTTCTAATTAATTATGTTGGGTTTTCGAATTTTCATACATTAGGGTTTGTAACGTAATTGAAACTCATGGTTACTTTTTATGCCCACCAATAATAGAATAAGGAGTAATTTCGAGGGGCTAATGTGTTTAGGATGCCCACCAATGTGGTATTTGATTCAGTGGTTTTTTTTGTTTTGTTTTTCTGATCATTTTTTTTTCCTTTTTTTGTGCTTGTTCTATTGGACTTCAATGGAGGAAGGTGGTGAGGCTCGTGGGTTTCTTTGGTGGATAGGGGTGAATGAACAAGGGTGGAGTTTTCATGGGCCGGGAGTAGATTTATTGGATGAGATGTAGTTGACAAGGCCTCTATCCAAGTAGGAAAATCTGGAATCTAGTGGTGGACTAGAGGTGAGGGGCTGCGGTGGAAAGAATCAAGGCAACGTTAGTTGTTCATCGGCGACATGGTGTTGGTGAGGTTGGTAGTGAATTGGTGGTGGCAGTGAGGTGATACTGGTGGGGGTGGCAGTGAGGGCGTGGTGGTGGCGGTGAGGTGGTGTTGGTGAGGGAAAAGAGAATAAAAATAAAGGAAGGTGATTTTATGAGATCACGTGACCCACACGTGCAAAGCCAACGCTGGAAAACCACGTCAAACACCGGAAATCAGGTTAATGTGTTACTTCACAGGGAAAAAAAAGTGATTTTAGGTGTGATTTCACAAGAAAATTTTTATAAGGTATTTTTTTCAAAAAAAAATGTTATAAATGGTGGTTTAATATTAAAAAAATTTCTAATTATTAACATAATATGTATGTTGGAAAAAAAAAGTAATACTAAAAATAAAAAAAAGGATAAATATAATATAATAATGAATATGAAAAAAAAATATCTCGAGATACTGTCTCTTGTGGGCTGACGTACAATTGCACAAATAGTACAAAAGGTGGTAATATTAATAGCAAAGCTAATAAGTTTGTTTTATTTTGCATACACCACTAGTAGTTGAGATTGGTTAAAGCCAATTTTCCTTTATAATTTTATTTCAATACAGATGTTGTAAAATTGTATAATTTTTGCATCAAATAATTCTTTTTAAGAAATTCTTTAAACAAAATCCATATATATGTAATTTTAACTACGTACATATTTTTAGAGAGTCATAAGGGCGGGTAATCGATTCCAAGATCTCCTAGAAATGGGAAGGGAGCTCTAACCACTTGAGATATACCTCAATCTCAATGACTTATGAGAGTGAGGGATAGCTCAAGTGGTTAGAGCTCTCCTCCCGGTCCCAGGTGATCCTAGGATCGATTCTCATTACCCGCCCTTGTGGCTCGATCTCTAAACACCAAAAAAAATTTCAATGACTTATAAATTCTAATCAAATATCATAAGAAACTAATACATGTAATTTAAAATCCTATACATAATAAAATAATGATACATGTACCGTCACAACCTTATATGAGCCATAATTATGCAATGTCCAAAAAAAAAACATCAAATATTATACCCATTTAACACCTATAAAAATTAAAATTAGCACGTACAATATAATAATTAATAATTACATATATTATACAGTATATATATTCTAAGTAGAGAGAGAAAGTCTAAAAGAAAAGGTAAACAAGAATTCCGTACTAAAATCGTACTTAAACATCTCTAAAAAACAATGCTAATTGGAACTAAGAACTCAGCAATCAGATGCCTAAAAAACACGCGCCCGATCGGGCGAAGGGCCACCCGAGCCCGATCGGGCCCGCCTTTTTCTTCAAGCTTCTCCTGGGCAGCCGCGCCTGATCGAGCTAACGCTCACCTGATCGGGCACGCCTTTCCTGATGTCTCTGACTATGCGCCCGCCTGATCGGGCGTAAGCTTGCCCGATCGGGCCCTGTCTCTTCCTCGAGGCTTGGACTTCAATTGGGCTTGATTCTTCGGCCCAATCCGGATTTCTTCTTCGGGTCTTGAATACTCGGTCCAAATGCCCCGGTATCACACACCGAGCCCTTAATAACCGGCTCTAACCAGTCCTGGGCTTCAAAGATGGTTGTGTCCTCCTAATGTCCGTAGTTGCTCCATGAAAAACCCGGAAAACGCTCTAAATTTGTAATTTCCTACAAAACTCAAGCAAAACTACAAAAACACTAGAAAACACCAATTAGTAATAAAATGGCTCTAAAGAGCCAAAAACACTACTAATTATGACCAAGGGACGGGGGTAAAATACTATATAAATTGGAAACTCCCCCAAGCCAAACCTTTGCTTGTCCCTAAGCAAAGAGATCATCAACGAACATATAAAACACGCTTCATCCCAAGTAAACAAAATCAAGCACAAAAGATTCAAGGCAAATCTAATGAACATGCTTCAATGTCAATCAATCTCATTCATCTAATCATTCTTCCGTCCCAACAATTGTCAAGTAGAGCAAACCACATGAGCATATAGAATTCAAGACTAGTGCTCACACACTCAACTCTTATTTATGTGGCGGGTAAAAGATACACTCGATCGCTCTCCAACCAACCCCTTTAATGTCGTGAACAATGCCCTCCCAACTCACACTCTCGTGTGTTTAAAAAGATGTACACTCAACCTACTAGTCGACTCGAAATATGTCAAATCATAACTTGCATTGATAAACAACACTTTCACATTCATACAACTCTATGCACAAAGGTCGGAAGGTTTTTAAAGCTTGTAATGTAATGATAGGGTAAAGGGTAGGATAAATTTAGGAAAATGTGAGAGAAAAGCCGTGCTTAAGGGAGCCATATCCTAACAAAACCCAAGGTCAAAATCAAGTAATGACCAAATCATCTCCAATCACAACTTAACTCCACAAAAGTTCACCAAACAATCCTATACATACGACAATCCCAAGACTTACACATCCACTCACAAAATATGATAATAAGAAATAGAGTGAATTAAAACAAACTTTGAACTCGTTCTTTTTTTCAAACTTGAACTTTTTTTTTTTGACTTTTGAGCAACCTTCTCATAGAACATTTGAACATTTGAAACAATTTTATCTTTGCTCTTTTTTTTCTTTTTTATCTCACATTGGAAATTTTCAACTTTGAAACATAAACTATCAACATTTTTCCAATCATAATATCAAAACAACAATCACTCTTCTTTTATTCCCACATTGTGCAAATAAAGTGCACATCACAACTCCCTCACCTCACCAACTAATAGCTCCCCCAAGCCAAGCTTGGGACTAGTAACCAATGGGGCTCATATAGGCTTTTAATGTGGCAAAATAATCAATAAAAGGGCACAAGCAACAACATGGGTAGCAAGAAGGGAACAAATGTATCTAATATTGTTTGAAAGATACCTAAGAGAACAAATGCCTTCGTCCTCCTCAATGTGCATAATATTGAGTCATACAAACATTACTAATAGTTGCAAAACAATACTCAAATTCCTTGACATACCAGGAACTATCACACAATTCCTAATCAAATCAACCAGTCAAGCACTATATTCACAAACGGTTGGCAAAATTGACGCATGTTTAGGCATCCAAACAATTAAACTTCAAATCATGATCAACAAATTCACAAAGCTCATTATCATATACCAAGAATCAAAACAATATTTTCCAATTATGGGACAAAGGGAAGCATGATTTACAATTCATTGGAACATATTTTTGAATTTTTTTTTTATTTTTCATTTTTTTTGTATTTTTTTCATATAGGAAAGCAATAAAAACTACACTAGAAAGCAATAAAATCTAAACTAGAAAGCGATAAATAGACAAAAGAGAGAAAGAGTTACCATATGTACAAGATATCTCCCCCCAAGACAAATCAAGCAATGCCCTCATCGACTTGGGGGTGTAGCTAGGAGAAGCTACTCCTCATCATCATCCTCATCCATCCTTTGATAGCCTCCTCCATAGCTCGAGCCGGCGCCTCCATGGCTCGTACCAGCACCACCATAGCCCGAACCACCTGCAAAGTAGTTAGGGTCCACATTGTCCCATATCCCACCAAAAGGAGCATCTTCCCCATAACCATGGACTAAAGAGTAGTCCACATGAGTACCATAGGCTCCGGGGGTCGAATACCCTCCTTGGGGGTATTGGAACCAATCGGGAACTAGTGCCTCGGGGGGAATAGCCCCTCGGCGTGCATAATCGTCATACATGGGGTATAAACCCCTCTCGAGGTTCCTCTCTACATGGCCAACCCTCCTATCTAGAGTGCCTAACCTAGAGTCTAGGTTTTGCACCATACCCTCCACTCTCCCTTGCCCTCTCTCGATCCGATCAAGTTGACTCCTAAAAGCTTAAAAGTCATATGGGGCATGGGGGTCTATGTTGTAATCGACGGAAGAGGTGGGGATGTCATATGTGTAGGGTTGGGGTGGTGGTGAATGGTGAGGCTCTTAAGCCTCTCCTTGACCGTCTAACCCAAAGGTGTAGGAAGGCTTTCCCTTCTCAAATTTGGTCAAGGCGGGGTTGGGTAGCTTAAAAGCTTTATCTCTCCTACCCGACTCCCGGTAGACTATCCACCATGTCTCACCTCCCATGGGTTGCACCCAGTTAAGGCCTCCTATATATACTAGGTCAAAAAAAATTAATAATTACATATATTATACAGTTGAAAATCTACTTTTTCCGTCCCTTATGACCAATTTTAAGTCTCAAAATGATAGTCCCATTTGCTTTTTTCAAGTATCATTAATATTAATTTTTACCAAAATTCCCTCCATGTACTTTCTTATGTACATTTCGTTTTTTCAAATACTTTTATTAGTTTCTCTCTCTACTTTTTTTGCATACCCAATGTAAATTTATCTCAGTGTACTTTTGCTATTTCTTATTTATGTTTATTAATTTCCGTGAAAATTGTCCATAAAAGACTATCAATAAGAGACAGAGGGAGTATTTGATTCAAATATATCTGTTTAACAAAAATCTCTAATAAATCATTAT